ACCCCCATGTAAATTACCCCATCTGCAAGGTAACTTTCAATTTCTATTGGAAATATTTCTAAAATGTGGTTCTCAGCCACTGAAAGCTTTTCCACCTTTAGCTTATAGCATAGCAAGATGCTGGATCCCAGTGAAACTATGGCTTAATGTGCTGTACAAACTCAGTGATTTAATTTCCTCTACTTCAAGTAGATAAAAAATGCATAAGAATTATAGTCATGTGAAAAGTAAGTACACCCCACTGATTTTTTTTATTTTTTCAACATATTTCAACATACAGATATTTGATCCTCATTTCAACAATATTGATAGATAAAGAGGATGTAATAAATATCATGCACCATTTACATTTTGCAATCCATTGTATAATTAAACAAATATAAATGCAAAGCCGAACATTTCAGTGGGATTTCCTACTTTTTCACATGACTCTATCTGTCATAAAGATAAAAGCTTTGTTATCCAGTTCACCCATCGTAACAAGGAGGGATGGTTTTCTTGAACAAAAATCAAAGTTCTATTAACAATATGCTCTTGGCTTATAGAAAGGCCTGAAGCTACATTAGGGCAGCCGTACCTTATTCTTCTACAGCAAGTAATAGTATGCCTCTCTCAAAAGGGGAAAAATGAATACCATATGGATTAGAATTTCAGTTACAAAAATAATAGAGGTCAGTAGGTGACAGCAAGGTGACTTGGCTGACCTTATCAGGGCTCCAAAGTGAAGTACAAGCCTGGTTAGTACTCGGATGGAAGAAGACTTGCAAATACCAGAGCTGAAGGCTACATTGGGAACTTGAAAAACAGCCCAGAAGAAGGCAAACCTCTCATAATGTTGCCAAAAAGCTGCATGGACATGCCCATGAAGTCTTCAGGAGTCATTGTTGACTTAAAAAAGACATTGCCTTTTACAAAGGTAATTGGTCTTGTTAATGCAATATATAATTGTTGTATGCCACCCACAGTCACCTTGTGTAAGATGGGTGGCTATATAGATATGATAAATAAAATATAGCCTGCCTGAATAGGAGTTGGCCTCTGGCAAACAGCTGAGTCTTTGTAATAACGTGACCAAAATCGAGAGCTTATCTCCTGCTTGCTTACTTATTCAAACTATAGTTGTTGCACAAGCAAACATAAGCACCATAACTTTAGATGCATCTTTTTTTTTTTTAATTGTGGCCTGATTTGGGAAATGTTAAGGTTTTTTTCTTCTATGTAAAAACTTGAAGTTCCAACATAAAATAACAATTGCTTAAGTAATTTTATGTTACAAAATATATAAATAAGTCTAGACCAAAGCTGGGTTCATGTATTGTATTAGGTCAAAATGCTATTTGTTTTCTAGTTGCTTAGCTTATATATGAATTCATCCAATTATTGTTTATATATGAAACCATGTTTAAGCAAATTATGGCTTAGTATAGTGTGCAGACTTAACTCTAAGTTAGCCCTTTTAAAATAGGTTTGATTTCAGTGGACTAAAGTGTAACTGAGCTTTCAAATAAAATTTCTGGAAAATAATGGGAATGATATATAATGCTTCTCATTGTATACGATAACGTTAATTATCTATTGTGACAGTGGCACTAAGCTAGAAACTGGAAGATCATGAGTTCTTGCCCTGGCCTGGGCACAAAACCAGTGGGCTATCTTGGGCCAGTCACTCCCTCTCAGCCCTAGGAAGAAGGCAATGGCAAACCTTTTCTGAAAATGCTGCTGAGAAAACTGCTGGGACTTGTCCGGGCGATTGCCAAGAGTCAAGACTGAATCGAAGGCGCACACACGCGCCCACACACACAAAGAAAACCATTTAATTTGAAGCAAGAGCTTCAAATATAGAGCACAAAATGCCAGTGCAAATATGTTCACCTGCTCTTTTTTTAGGGATCAGTAGAGGCTTTCTGAACTTTCTGCTCCAAAGACCTGAAAAAGTATTGCTAATTGCTGTGATGGCCTGTTTTATGGTTTAAATTACAAAGCACAGAATGACGATAATCTTTCTGTGCAAGAATGTAATTAAGGTGCTAGTTTGAAGCATTGATAGGCATATAATTTAACTCATTAGTTCCACTAGCAACCTTCTGTTTTTTTTTAAAGGGTTGGGAAAAAGTGGATTTTGCATTTCTATGCAGAGGCTGCAAATTTGAGTCACCTTTGGGTTCCCTAAGCTACCTGTTCCTACCTGTCCTGTGTAACCTATGTTTCTCACCCATTCAGTGACCACATCTGCTCTGCCAGGAGAAATGTCCTCTCCCATTGAGGTTGCGTGAACACGTACAGACACCCTCACCAACCCAGGACGCCTACCACCTTCTTTTAAAACTTAGAGAAAGACTTGTTGAGAAAAAGGGAAACTGCTTTTACTAGAAAGGCTTTCTTTATTGGCTAGAAATGTATTTTGACATCATTTTTTAAGAGACTGATTTATGCCACTGAGGGGATGTATAGCTATTCTCCCCAACACATACTCACACTTATGCAGTTACACCTCCACTTAATTTAGTTTGCTGTAGAGTTAAATATCTGAAGTGGAATATCCCTATTTTGACATCATTTTTTAAGAGACTGATTTATGCCACTGAGGGGATGTATAGCTATTCTCCCCAACACATACTCACACTTATGCAGTTACACCTCCACTTAATTTAGTTTGCTGTAGAGTTAAATATCTGAAGTGGAATATCCCATGATTATTATTTTGACATCATTTTTTAAGAGACTGATTTATGCCACTGAGGGGATGTATAGCTATTCTCCCCAACACATACTCACACTTTCATTCATTCACCTCCACTTAATTTAGTTTGCTGTAGAGTTAAATATCTGAAGTGGAATATCCCATGATTATTTTAATTTCCCATAAATTTGCATTTCAAAACATCTTTCTCTAGAGTGCTTTAATGTTCTGAGTTGTAAGAATGGGATCTCATAGTTTGGGCTATAACATGTAGTAGTAAAGCACTGTGAAGTGTGAGTGCTGGTTGGCAGTGTTTAGGATGCAATATATATGTAAAGCAATTGAGTGAACCTTGCTTCTGAGTAAAGATGGAGAGGGCTCTGCTGTTAGTTAAGTTGTAATCAATAAAATCATTCTACAATAATATATTCCTTCTAAGTACCAGTAATACAAAGCAGGTGTGGTACCTTGTATTGTTAAATTTCTGATAAAATTGTTAGACTTCGGTTTCTATGGTAACGATTTGAACAATTGTGAAAAACCAGTTAGAAATGTTAGAGGCTGTTATGATTTCTTTGTTTTTATAGCTTCTTTTAGTTTCTTCCCCCATGCCATAACTCATGAAATTGTGGTGCATGTGCTATGTATAATAGAGAAATGTGCAGCTCTTAACTGTTCTTTCATTTATGTGCAGGCTGATATGCTGAGGTCACTAGCAAATACAAAACCCACAGTAAATGAGCAAGACCTGGAAAAACTAAAGAAGTTCACAGAAGATTTTGGACAGGAAGGCTAATCCAAACAGCCCTCTAATCCTTTTATTCCCCCCACCCTCCTTTTGGCATTATTGCCTCTATGTTGCCAATAAATAAATTGCTCATTCCTTCTTTTCCATATGAACTGAATAGCCTCTTGCAAAGATCTTTGAGTTTATGTATATCACTTTCCAGAAATATCTATTAAATGTCATTTACTGAGAGCATGGTAATAGGACTTGCTGGCAAAAAAGAATGGACAAATGTGGTCTATATGTTTTAACATTTGACAGCCC